CATGTTATTCGCAACTCTCTGTACGCGGTTCAACCTCAAAGTGTTCATCGATATGTGAGCAGTTTGACCTACTTAGGCCCCATATCTGAAAAAGTAGCTAATACTCTTCGACAAAACGGCGTTCATGTGGCGTTCAAAACAAACAATTCTCTTAGAAATATCTGTAATAGTAAAGATAAGTTAGATATTCGTCAAAAGTCAGGTGTTTACAAACTTGTTTGTGACGAATGCCACGCCGTTTACGTGGGTCAGACTGGTCGCAATTTCGAGACACGTTATAAAGAGCATTTAGCCGCGTACAGGAATTGCAATCCCGATAAATCCCATTTTGCCAAACATCTTTTGGACACTGGACACAACCTAGCCAACGACCACTCCTTTAAAGTCTTACATATGTGTAATAAAGGGCTGCGTCTGTGTGTGCTGGAACAGTTAGAGATATTAAAAAGTAATAATAATACCGTTGCATTGCTGAATGAACAAACAAATGTTACTAACTCACCTCTCTTAAATATCTTCAAGCCTGCTCACTAATAATGTGGGCGTTGCGCGGCGGTTTGTTTTTAATTTTACAAACGGCTGCGTAAGTCCAGCGGTGATTGGTCGCATGTTTTATCGCATGACGCAATCGCTCGCTCGTTAGGTAGAGAGCGGTTGCATCATCGGTTTGTATAAAAGGCACTTGTTTTGGCTCGCCGCTCACTTAGCGGTTAGCCACCGTAGAGTCTATATCACCTGAGGATGCCTCGTGTAGAGGCGAAACACGTGTCGTATTATCGTCAGTGGTGTGTCTTGCCTAGTGTAGTGGTGTTGGAAGTAGCGGTGCTGGGATTAGTGGTGACGGGGTTAGTGCACGCAATTGAGGGAGGGCGGGAGGTGCTTCTTCATACTAGGTAAGACACATCATTTTATTTTATAACGCGGATATTTGCAAAGTAAATTTTTGTAAAAGCTTTTATATAATGGATTTCCGCAAAGTAACGCCTGATTCTATTAATCTCTTTTATTTTTTGAATTGATGTTAGCAGCGCCATCTCTCTTTAAATATATAATAAAAATGATGCTAACATGTTGTGTCTGTTTCTGTACATTGTATAGTATATTTTTGTGGCTAAAATCATTATGGGGAACTGAAAATAATTAAATAAGTATATTTTTATAATTTTTAGAATTTTCTGTTTGTCTGTTTTTTTATAAACGCATCACGTCTAAAGTAAACATCTTTTTCTTTTTCAAAGAAATCGTTAAGAAAATCATAAAGCGTATCTTCGAGTTACATTTAATCTTTGTTTTATTAAAACGGGTAATTCTATCGAAAGTAATGATTATTTTTTTGAAATGTAGGTTCGAATTTGTTCAATGGCCCATAAAATCTCAGAAATAGTAATAAAAAGATTTGTGTGTAAAAAAAAACGTTCCATAATAATTAATATATTTATACTTAAAACACAAAAAGAAATAAAAAAAAGGATGTTTTCTCACACAAAGGACGTAATAGATGGAGTTGTACAAATTACAACTTTTTCTGAATTACGGTGTTGAGATTCTTGGTCGGTGAATCGTATTGAGACTTAGTGAAGAAATAAGTTTCTACCCAAGCCATACAACGGAACCCGACCAAAAGTAACAAAATTGCAACGAAATGTCGTGATATTGTATTTATAATATTTATAATATACGCAAAATCATTGCTGCCATTTTAGTGCTTTGGGAACTAGATCTAACGCTTTTTTGGAATGTATAGCGCGCATTTCGAAATTTTAGCACCTAGCGCTTAATCCAGCGCTTTTTGGTGTATTTAGCAGTAGCGACTAGCGGGTTATCTAACTCTTTTATAGCAGCACTGTTAGTCCACATTACCGATAATAATAATAATGACCATCGTTATTTTTTTCCACAAATAGTACATTGCAGTTTATCTTTTTCAATCATATTTTTCCACAAAACAAAGAGCATGGGAAACGAGTCCAAACTAGGATACCCTGTGTTATGGATCTCCCGGCTCCCCCTTTAGGATGATCAACTTGATTTTTTTTACCGACGACTATAAGCGGGGAAATCCCCTTTATTAAAATTTTCGTTCATGGTTTTGCAACGCATTTATTTTGCTTCATTCAGTTTCAGTCAGTTGTTTAGAGCACAGCTAACTTAAAATTTACTTAGAAGTTACAACACAAAGAAACTGTGTAGCAACCGCAATCAGATGCTGACATCTGAAACTGAGTTGCGAAATACATTGCCCTTTAAAAAAATTAATGACATTTTAATTGTTCGTACAGTACTAACTACTGTTGACAGCAATTGCCATAATTATAAGTCGATGTCCTGCGAAGTATTGATACATCAAAAAAATATTGCCAGAAAAAAATTTAATGTTGTTTTCTTTATTAAGTATGATTATATTTTCTTGAATTATAAATTATAATAAAAAACACAAACTTTGTTTGTAGTTAATTAAGCGCGAAATCTAGAGCTTTTTTTAAAGCGCTGTTTTCACGAAATCTAGCGCTTTTCGTGTTGTCCTAACGCTGAATGAGTTTTTTGATCTGGCAGCACTGCCCAAAATCCTTCTATTGAGAAGTAAACTCCATTCAGTTTCAAGCGCGTTCAGTTCCCATTCCCAGTCACAGTCAGCGTGTGTAATGCGATGTCCGTAAATAAAGCGCAAGGTCAAAATTTACGCGTTGTAGGACTATGTTGCTTTTTCCCGTGTTAGTTGCCCCCGTAACCTTTTTGTGTACACCCCGGCAAAGCCTACTTCTAACGTCGTTTACACAGAAGCTCTATCATAAACTACTTAGAACTTTGGTAATAATAATTTATTTTGTTACCACTTATTGATACAGTAATGATATAAATCGTTTAATATTCTCTTACCTAAACGACAAATTCTTTATGTAAAACCTATATACAGCTAGTTTCCAATATAAACGGTCTTTGGTTCTCTACACTCACCAAAGGAAACACAGCAGCATTACGCTGGTATTTTGTGAGAGATATATCGGGCTGATCCATTCGTGCTACTTAAAAAAATCTCGCACTTAAATATAGCCGCAGCTCGACTCTACCACACAAAATAATATTATGTAGTTTGAAATATCTATAAATGTGTTTAATTTTACGGACATAGACAATTGACAAAATTATAACATGCATCATTATACGTGGTAGAGCCATGCTGCAGCTATATTAGTAGTATAGTTGTAGCACGAATGGCTCGGCTCGACCGAGGAAGGACCACGCTCTCACAGAATATCAGTTTAAAATAGCAGCTTAACACTACTGTGTTTTGTATGGTGAGTTGGTGAGTGTAGAGAACCAGAGACCCTTTTTACTGGAAAAGAGGTATTCCATCTTAGTCCTCACGGGTAACAACGCATCTTCATTTTGAGTATTTATTGAGGATGGATGTGGGTGTCTATGGGCCACAGCAGCCATTTACCATCAGGTGGACTGTGTGCTCGTTTGTCACCCTATCCTATAAAAAAATGTTCATCATTTATCTCCAAAATTGTTTAGGTAGGAAATACAATAGTATTTTAAATTTTATAAGTACAGACTGATTTATTTTTATTTATGATTATGATTTTGGTACACTTTACGGTACGCGTGTCGATGCCGTGTGAACTCACGTGTAGTGAACATGTACGCAATTATTTTAAGTTTCATGTCACATGTACGTCAAAAACAGTACCTAGTGATAAGCCGATAAAGTCATGTGGAGTTAACGTAAAATACGGCGCTTCATAGAGCCGTGTGAATATAACTGAAAAGATCAATAGTCGACTCGCTCTAGGTTATGTTATAACCTGTTTATGTTATAACCTACCATAAACGTGTGCTCGATAATGTTATTTCATTTCCAAGTATCTGTTTTTTGCGGTCTAGACTTGCCCTATTATGAAATAATGCATAGGCGGCAGACTGACGCGTAGTCAGCTGAGCGAAAGCATGCGGCAAGAGGTGAAGAAACGCACGATAAAGACTGCTGTCATTGTCATGCGCAGTGATCGTGAACGCCACGTTTTTGTCGTTATGTGCATAAACATGTTAAATAGCTTTCTGCTATATTGCATCGTGTTATACCGATATATATTGATCAAGTAACATCGTGTTCACATTTTATCGTCTTTTTTGCTATTCTTATGTCACACTTTTAAATATAACTATTTTAAAAGTTTGGAATAAGTAAACTAGTTATAATTATTGCTACTGAAATTAATAAAAATATAAAATTATTAATATTCCTTATTATAATTTTAAATTATAATAAAAATAAGAATCCACTCGGTGGGGTGACGACCTGGTAAGAGATGCAGGAAGTCAATGGATGAAGGTAACCCAGGAATGTGTTATGGGTCATATCTTGGGAGAGGCATGTGTTCAGCAATGAATTTGTGATTGTGTTATAATATTATCATTATACTTCCGTACTTTAATTATTTTTACTTTATTCAGATTTCAGTTTCCTATCAAATTACTTTAAGAAATATAATAAATAAGTTATTTCATATCTTTACATTTTATTCATTTCTTAAAATTATTAAATGCAGAATATAAATTAAGATAAATTAAGAGATAGTGGTAAAAACCAAAGAATATGTATTAAAAACAAAATATATAAAAAATCTAGGTGTGGCTGTGTCGTGTACACGGCCGTGTGAATTGAACGTGTACGTAACGTGTAATATTTTCAATTGAAAGGACATCAAAATGGTGGCGTTACCCCACAGTCACAGCCCTCAGTGAACGCAGCGAATTATTTGACCATTTAACTATCGAGTGGTGTAATTAAATTTTGGATGCAGATGATACTGTGACATCAAACTTTATCTCCCGATTTTGTTAATCAGTTTTCTAAATTGGAATCAAATTTAAAGACTTATTTACGTCAAAAAATATGATGATTAACGAGTCGTTAACGAAGCATGTGAAACTATTATATTGAAATCACTAGTTAGTAAAGCTACTATAATAGCGCGGGCACAACCTTGTTCAACGATCAGTTTGCCTGTTGTGGTCGGAGGGATAAGCGTTTCGGATAGAGCGCGCCCAAAAGGCATCGATCTATTTTTCTTTTATTTTGGCTTCTAGCCATTGTATGGGTGAGTGTTTTTTGTGGCAAGTATTTTATTAAGCTAATACTTAAACTTAATTGCGTAATATTTTTTTTTAATTATATTCTTTTTAAGAAAGAACGTGTACTCTTATGTGAATGTAAAGAGTTGGATTGCACGGACGCAAAACAACGGATTAAAACTGTTTTGTTCTAGACGTAAACAAAGACCATTTTACCCGTTCTGTAATACGATTTACTGCAAAATATCTTAGTTCTCTGTTTTCAACAAGAAAGTTGTTTCTCGTTTTTTTTTAATGTTTTCCGCAGCGTGATTTTTGAAACTTGTTCAATACTTTTAACAAAATGGCTCACGATGCGTCTCTACAATCTTTACGTAGACTTATTTGCAAGAAGTAGAAATGTATAAGAAATGTATGAGAAATGTATACATTAAAATTATTATAAAAAAGTTATGCATGAGATATACGTCACGTGCACATATTACCTATATGCATTTCACTTTCTCTAAACTTCGATGGGAACGCGTTGTTATTGTTTTATGGTTTGGTTAATAATTAAATATTGAATTATGATTTTCATACCTTTTCGCGGCTTTTGGAATAATTTCTTAACTTGTTTTTTTTAAATATATTATGTAGGATTCTGACGTAAGGTCATCCTCAATGAGAGTTTCTTAGTATTGTTGAAATAATAACTAATAACTGTTTATATTAAAGTTTTCTTTAATATAATTTCTATTGCAAATTACTTTAAAATTAACATTTTTTGCTGATATAATTTGGTGCAGTTGTAATTAATCTTAGCCGAAAAGAACTGTCAGTAAATGAGCTAAAAACTTGGCTCTACCTCACTTTGCTGACTGACCTATTTCACTTTAGCCTTATCTCATGCGGTATTTCTTTTTTGGCGAATACTCGTGCGGGCTCCAATACTATAGCAGCTGAAATAAAAATTAGCAGATTGCACAATATTTTGACTGTTGTTTTTTTTTAAATAAGCTTGAGGATTTTTGCCTCTTTTATACGTGGTAGAGCCATGCTGCAGCTATATTAGTAGTATAGTTGTAGCACGAATGGGTCGGCTCGACCGGGTAAGGACCACGCTCTCACAGAATACCAGCGTAAAATAGCAGCTTAATACTGCTGTGTTTCGTATGGTGAGTGTAGAGCACTGGAGATCCTTTTTACTGGAAAAGAGGCATTCCAACTTAGTCATCACGGGTGACAACGCATCTGCATTTTATTTCGCAAACGAGGATAAATGTAGATGTCTATAGGTCACAGCAACCACTTACCATCAGGTGGAATGTGTGCTCCTTTGTCACCCTATTCCTATAAAAAAAAAAACTTTACAATTTTACTTGAAGCACTGTCAAGAAGGCTTATGTGAATAGCTTCAAGACCCGTTACCTGCACTGCTCCTCGGCCTCGGCAGAGTCCGTGCAGGCAATCATTACCTGCCTATCTGAACTAATATTCTTGTCGTTGACGCTACTTTATTTTTTTTATTTTCAAATTATATGTGGTTTTATTACCTCTGCATTGGCCGGGGAATAAAAGTATTGTCAGAGACCCCGCTTAACCAATGTGCGTGTCAGTTAGAGGTAATAAATTTTATATATTAGTAAAATATATATATATATATATATATATATATATATATATATAGTAGTTAATTATCATTTTACCACTCCATTGGTTGACTGGTAAAGAATGGCTCAAGGCATTAAGTCCGCCCTTTGTATTCTTTTGTTTGAAATGCAATAAAGAGTAAATAAATATATTAATAATAAATTTATATAGAATTTGCAAATGAAAATTTATTTAAATTTAACTTTTTATGGTCGAGTTTTCTGAAGTAAAAGTTATTTTTATACGTTTGAATAAACTGAAACTGATAACGCACTTAACTGGAACCACAGAGTTTTGTTACATATTGTATAACTGTTCATTAGAAACTACTATTAACTAAATCCATGTTGCATATTTGCAAAATATCCCACGCATTTTGACGCAAAATAATTGTACCTATATCCAACCGTGGGCGGGTCGCCGTAAAGGTCAAGTTCTCTACCTACGCTATTGCGTTCGTGTAGGCCTTTGATAGCTTTTATTTCAATTATCGACATACCAATCATTCCATTCATTGATTGCAGGGTTGCTCTTAGAATTTTTAAGGGGATTTTATTTTGTAAATTAAGAAACTAAAAACATTTTCGTAATAAGCATCTGACCGTCTTAAACCATCAAAAAAGATAGATGGAGCGCTGCTTCCATTTCAAGCGATGCTGAAACCACGCTGTCACACGCACACATCTTTCTTCTTTTTTCCATAACAGTCCGCAAAAGTTAATGCCGGGTTTCCACGCTTGCCAAGTCTCGGCAAGCATCCACAAGCACAAGTGTGTAAAGAGGGCGTTTGGCTTGGCTTGCGTGAGCTTGCGGACGCTTGTCCCCGATCCGGGCTAGTGTCGGTTTCTGGACACAGATCAAAGGGCGCAAGCACTTGCAACGCATTCACACGTTGGTTTAGTAGAAATTGTGATTTCGCGACGAGCGCATGTTTAGTTCTTTGTTTAAAATGAGTGACTGGTCGAACGAAGAGAGTTTATCGTTTCTGGAATATTACCAGACGGAATCGTTTATCTGGAACCCCAAAAACGTAAATCATAAAAATAAAAAGAAAGTTGCAAATGCTTGGAGTCGTCTTGCCGAGTTAACGGGAAAGCCAGTAAAAGAATTAAAAGCCAAAAATTCCTTGTTTTTGTATTACTTTGCTTGTATTTCAAATAAGAGTATGTTAAACCAAACGCAATAGCCGACACAAGTTCGGTGTCCGCCATGCTTGGGTTTACGTAGTACACTGGCGCATTCACATTTCACAAGCATGAAAACGATTTCCAAACGCCAAACGAGATTTGTGGACGCTTGGGGCTTGAAGACGTTTGCCGAGGCTTGGCAAGCATGGAAACCCGGCATTAGGTTACTACTGGACGCACACACTTGCTCCTAAAAGCATGTTGTTGGTTGCAAATGATTTTAGGTGCATATGTGTAAATGTGTTCATACAATAAGTTGAGCATGGTTTTGTCTTGGATTTTGCGTCACTTAAAATGTACACAGCCCTTTGTCATTCTTTCTCTGCCGACATTATGAATTAATAAATGCTAATCTAATTTAAATGAAAATATGTATTCTATCAAAACTACTAGGGTATCATAAATCAATGTAAACAAATTGAAAGAATTAAGCCCGATTAACAAGTAAAGACGTATAAATTCTTGGAATTCGATACCTACCTACCCACAGCGAACCTGATAATAAAAGGAAAAAGTTCTGAAAAACGAAATAAACTTTACCTTGTTTTTTATTTAATCTTATAATAATATATTATACTAGCTGGCCAGGCAGACGTTGTTCTGCCCTTAGCGGCGAAGCTTTGTACTATAAAAATCCTTAAATTCACAATAAAAAATACTGAGGGTCACTTATCGAGATAAAAACTAACTATCCTATCTCTCAAGTTGGCCCAAACTGCACACAGTGTGCAAAATTTCATTGAAATAATTTCAGTGGTTTAATAGTTTATCGCGGACAAACAATGTGACATGTAATTTTTATATATAAAGATTATATTATTAATAATCGTATCGGTTTAGATTTTACCAATTTCATACTTACTATAGATTGAATAATATCTACCTGTTTTACTTTATTTACAAATGCAGTATACCTACGTTAATCGTAATAAATCACCTACTTTTTGCAATCGATCGACATTTGCATTACATTGACGGCTCCGTGGTGCAGTTACTTAGCAATCACTTGTTGCGCTGGCAGCCGCGGGTTCGAATCACGTACGGAACAAGTATATAATTGTTCCGGGTCTGGATGTTTGTCCTTGTGCAATTTATGTTTGTAAACTGCCTCCACGATACAGGAGAAAATCTTAGTATGGGGGTAACGTTTTTTAAAAAGTGTGCCACTTTGTTATTGCGTTACTTTTATCTATACTATATCCTTAAACAATTTGGCCGTGTATTGACTGCGTAAGAGAATCCGCTACCCCATATCATCCCGTGGGTGCCGTAAGCTCTCATGAGACGCCAGAGGGAAATCGAACAAGACATGAAATCACACATGACATCATTGTTACGTGGTAGAGCCATGCTGCAGCTATATTAATAGTATAGTTGTAGCACGAATTGGTCGGCTCGACCTGGGAAGGATCACGCTCTCACAGAATACCAACGTAAAATAACAGGTTAATGGTGCTCAATTTCGTATAGTGAGTGTAGAGAACCGGAGACCCTTTTTACTGGAAAAGAGGCATTCTATCTTAGTCCTCACGGCTGACAACGCATCTGCATTTTAATTCGCAAACGAAGATAGATGTAGATGTCTATGGGCCACAGCAGCCACTTATCATCAGGTGCTCGTTTGTCACCCATATTCTATATAATACAATTTAAAATTTAAAATTTTGTACAACCGACTTCAATATAAGTTATTAAGAATAACTCAAAAACTATTGGTCTGACCTTGATCAAATTAATATGGAACCACAAGAGAAGTACTATCTTTCAAATATAAAAAGAATTATCCAAATCGGTTCACCCAGTAAAAAGTTATGAGGTAATACACATAAAAAACATACAGTCGAATTGAGTAGACTTTTTGGAAGTCGGCAGAAAAAAAAACATGGACAGTAGCATGTTCCTGCTAATAAACTCAAAACTTTTAGCGGAGGCCTATGTTCAGCAGTGTTTGACCAAACCCGACTTCTACAGCTACAGCAACTAGGCCAACTAGGCATTCTAATGTTAGTTAGTACCTATCCATTCCGAGACGTATCATAATGGCTCCCCCCACAGAGGTTTAACATATTGGGTTTTTCCCCGATGCAAAACCAAAGGGTTTTTATTTGGCAATCCATTCATTCATTTCAATAATAAAAATTGATATTCTATAATTTAAAATTTTGTACAACCGACTTCAATATAAATTATTAAGAATAACTCAAAAC